CCAGGGGCTTGCAACCTGGTCTGTCTGTGGGACCCACCCGGCGCCCAGGCTTTCGGCGGCGCTGCAGCGGCTGGGCCAGGTCGGACTGGAGACGGACACACGGGCCCCAGTGGCTTCCTGCGCTGTGCTGGAGGTGGCGGGCACGCTCACCGAGGCACGGACCGAGGCACGGGCCGTGGCCGGAGATGGCATCGAGCCTCCGAAAAAATGTGCGTGGCTCAGGGGCAGCAGTGGCGAGGGTGAGGGAAACGCAGCACGTTGCATCACAGTGAGGCTGCTTGGCGCTGAGAGGCGCTGGTGCCCGGAGTGGGTCGGGGTCAGCCAGTCCTCTGCGCCACCCCTTTCCCGGGAGCCGCCTCCCTGTGGGCTCCTTCGATGCAGGTTACATGTCGCCTCCCCGCATGTCTTCCATTTCCGGAGGAGCTTAAAACTGCTGGCGAGTCCTGCCTGATAAGGAGGCCATCAGACCACATTCTCACGCTCAAACCCAAGGGGATGAGAGAAAGATGCCAGAATTTCAGTGACAGGAGCAAGCACTGATGCCACAGGAGTACAGAGTAACCTCCATAAACTTGGGTTTGCAGTAGCCTGCCCAGTGCTGGGAGGATCTACGTTAGGGGCTGGCCAGGCCCCTCAAGCCAGGAGTTTTGGCCTCTTACAACCCCATGGCCTCCGTGGCTGTGATACCCTGGATTCCTTGGATGCCAGGCCAGACTGACCTTGCCTGGCATCTTGAGGGTGAGCAGATGTTGGCCTTCTGATGAAGGTGCCTGTTTTAGCCAGAACTAGGGCTACTGTCTGTGATTGGACACAGGGTCCAGTAGAGCATTTAGCACTGACCTCTCCAGAACTTCCCTCTGGCCCTGTGGCGCTACACTCCCCTAGTTTTCCTCAACTTTACTATTTTCTGCTGGTCCTCTTCCTAAATTCTCTTTCTACTCTGCCACCCCTCCTGGGTATGTTTATCTATGGCCACAGCTACAGCTAAGCTGCTATGGCCCAACTCCTCCAGCCCAGTTCTCTTTCCTGAGTCCAAACGTGTGT